GTTGCCTGATGGTCCCAGTGCCCGGAGGCTGTGGGGACCTCTAGATTGGGTACAACAAGCTTTAGCTCAATCCAGAGGTGATATTCAACCTGTTTTGACCAGTTCAGGAGAATCAGTAGCGGAAATTTTGAGTAGTTCGGAGATACACCTCTGACTGGTCCCACCCCTCTTCCTCCCAAGTCCCAGCTGATCGGCTTTTGTTGCCCTGCACAGGAGAATGGAACTGGAAAGCAGGTTAGTGGGGTGGGGAGGGAATGGGGATTTTGCAGTATCCTTCTCCTGCCACTCCCACCAAGCCATGCCCACCAAGCACACCACGCCCACCAAGCCACTCCCACAGAACCGATAGTAAAAAAAAATTGAATCCCACCACTGGCTCAATCCCAGCAAGACCTAGCAATGCTGTGGGTTTTTTGAACCTGCTAGGTCCTTTCATTTCATTTTTGATTCTGAGTGAGATCACACTAGACAGTGCTGACAGGCAGTCGGGGGTGGGGGGTGTTTTCCTGGACTCATAGCTCCTGCTTGAGGAGTAAATAGCATCCATGGTTAGATAGGCTTTTTGCACAGCTTTGGATTGTATATCAGTTATGTGCATTCCTGGATTAGGAGGCTCTACTCATGATCGCTCATGCCTTAGTGAGCCTCCAGATTTAAGTACTGCAATAAGCTCTACATGGGCCTGCCCTTGAAGAACATTCAGAAGCTTCAGCTACTGCAGAATGCAAGAGACAGCAGGGCTTGAACCTTTAAGTCCTTATGGTTCAAGGCTAGGCTACTGACAGAGCTGTCTCTCCCCAGTTGTTCTATCTATCCCCATCCATTCTGCAGGAGAGGCATACTTTGTATCCCATCAGCTAAGGCATGCCAGCTGACAGGGGCCAGGAAGAAAGCCTTTTCTGTCACGGCACCCTTCCTATGGAATGCCATTCCTCCAGAAATTGTATTGGCCTTTGGTAAGGCCCTGAGGACATGACTCTTTCTCTGAGCAAGGGACCAAGTCTCTTGATTGGCTATGTTAAATGTTGGAATGATCTTTTTCAGCTGCTATGGGTTTTACATTTTTTAATAAGTTTTAATTGTTTTTAACATTATAAACCACCTAGAGTCATGTTTGCAAGATACCCCCACACTGACTAAACAAAGAAACAAACTTTCTGCACAGACTGTTCATTATAGTGCTAGGTTCCATTCAATGATGCTATGCAGAGATATATTCAAAGCACAGAAAAAAAAAATCTATATGGATTTAGATACCTGAATATCCCTTGCCATCTTTACCACCCACATTCCCAGTCCAAAACAGCTTGTAATTTTCACATTTGGAGTCTTCAGAATGAATCATTGGTGAACCGGCTGCATTCCAGCAATTAATTGCTTGAGAAAGTGGTGGGGTTGCTTTGAATAATGAATGAGCTTGGTAATTGCATGATCTGCTCACAAAAAGACTTGCCAATAAAAAAGGTGGGAAAGAGAACTAAACAATAATAAAGGAATCACTGATCATATTAATTTCTCTAATTTCCTCCCCCCAATAAAAGCAGAATCTAAGTGTGTGACCTTCAAAGAGTGCAAACCAAAAGCCATCAGGCATCTGAAGTATTTAGTAAGACAAAAAGCTGCAATAGTCAGCACACTTTTTAATGTAGTTCATGTGTGGGCCTCCCAATACTTTGAGATATGATGACAAAATTTGGTTGCAATACGGTAAAATTTTGGCAGCACTATTTGGCCTGTTTGTCAGGATTCAGATTAGTTTTTACAAAGAATGAAGCTGAAACAGCAGAAAACAGGGGTTTCTATGGTGCAGAAGTTCATGATATCAGCACAGTCCCTCAAGTCCCTCAAGAGAATGGCAAAGTATGTATTAACTCAAAAATCTGGAAAGGAAAAAATAATATTGAAAGTCTATGGTTCCTGATCTAGACCAGGACCTATATATAGGATGTGCTTTCTGTGTAATATGACAGGCAGTTAGGTTCTTCTTGTCTATAAAAAAGAGGTTTTTCAGTATCCCGAGCCATCTATCAATAAGGTTATCCCTGAATAAAGTGATAACTACCTGGAAAGCTGAGATTTACAACTGTGATTGTGCAAAGCTTAATACATTTAAGGGTGGGAATAAGAGTGGATTTTCTCTAGGAGTGGATTATCAGGAAAAAAAATATTCATTTTGCAAGATCTCAAGATTCTGTTACTATAATCTTATGATAAAGACTCGTGGTTTTGGTTTCTTGATTGGATTACCTCATAGGGCTGACATCAATCTTGAAAAATTTGGGAGTACTTCTCCTCTCCATTACCTTTATTTTTTATACTATTAGGAAAGGTCCTTTCTGAGGCAATTTCCATGTTTCCATTCCTTCTGTGGGGTGAGATATCTTCTGTCTGACCATAGTCTAGACTGCAGCTCTTCTTGTTGTCTTCCTAGGTTATTCTCACAGCCCATTACAATGCGTCAGTACACTGCTTTTCCCTTTAGGAAAGCTGTGCACAATGGTTTTCTGATCTGCAAGTCGTTAGATCCAAGTTGGCTCAGAAAAGCACAAAAATGTTTGGAGTAAAACATGTAGCATATTAACTAAACTGTACCAAAACTAATTAGTACTGTTCTTATGATTAGCATAGAATCAATGCAAATGCTATGGATGTGACTAAGGTTGGCAAACCTTTTTCCCTTTATCATACTACAAAGTCTTAGGTGAAAGCCTTAACTGACCAAGCATGAACAATATCTATGGATCTACATTATTATCGGCATGGTATATGAAAGATTTAGCATGCATAAGTGGTAAAAGAAAAAAGAGCATGACATAATGAATGAAATATGCTCTGTCTATAAAACTAAGAGAAAGGATGCAAAAGATTAGAATACAAATGATTCAGTCTTGTGGAGTAGAATATTAATATATGCGAAGCAGAGCAGTCATAGGTTCATTTATGATAAAAGGCTAAAGTATATGTCAGTAAGTACAGACTGGTGACATCAAAGTTGTTGAGAATGTAGTAGGAATCTATAAATTGGTGAAAGTTACATGTAAATGCTTCAATGATTGGAGAGAATAGGAAGAACTAAACGGTTTTAGACAACTAATTTTCTGCGTTAATTTGATCCAGGAGGTAAAATTATCATATTGTATTGTAATGAATAGAAGGATAGGAACCAGACAAGAAATTATATTTAAAAAATGGTTAGGCCATTTGGCGATCCAAGGATGAATGAGTATTATGACTGGTGAACATCTGTTTAGAAAAGGATTTATTCTGAACATATAGTTTTAAGCATTACTGTTCATATGTACATACAGAAAAGGAATCAATATAAAAATATGTTAGTTCCCACCAAAATAAATAGAGGAGGATGTAAGAATGTAGATGCAGAGGAACAGAAGAGGTAATCTTCACCCACACATTAAACTACTTGCATAGCTATTTCATAAACAAACCACATACATATTTTATGTATAGAGTAGGGGGGTGGGGATTCAGTGTTATAAAGTATGTGAAATTACAAAAATGGTAAATATTAAAAATGATATTTGGTGGAAAAAAATAATGAAAAGCAATAATAAATGATGTGAAAAATAATACGGCTGAGGGTGCAGAGATGGTTAGTGTAAAAAATATTAAAATATGTATGTGGTTTGTTTATGAAATAGCTATGCAAGTAGTTTAATGTGTGGGTGAAGACTATATCCCATTTAATCATTGGAAGAAGCCACAGTCCTTATCTTAGAAAATGGAAAGAGTAGGAAGAATGATTGGAAAAACTGCAGAGGAGCTACTCTGATAAGTGCTTGGAGGGTGGTCTGGCAGAATACCGATCAAAAAGGGGCAACGATGACAAGTAAAATTTGTGAAGTAAGCAGCTTTATGCCAGGCAGGGAATACGAAGATCAGATTTTTGCTTTTTTAGCATATCACTGAAAAACGTATAAATACGAGGAAGAAAAATTATTGTACATTTACTGATTTACAGGAAGCACATGACAGGCTTGAAATAAGGACTCAATGTATAAGTAATGCTTGTGGTGAAGCTAGAGATAGGTTAGTTGAGACATGAATAAATATGCATTTTTGTATGCAGATAATGCTCTGCTGTTGGTTGAGAACCTGATTGATTTGCAGTGAACATTTGATTGCATGATGCAATGAAGAGCATTTGAAAATTAATGTGTCAAAGTCCAAAATACTTGTGTTTGACAGACAAGATGTAGTGAATGATTGCAAGTTACACATAAATGATGAAAAATTAGAGCACACAGATTGATTTGTGTTATCTTGGTAGAATGTTCATGAAAGATGAAAAAAGGGATAGAGGAATTTTAAGATGGGCAAATGTGAATGAAGTCCACTGAGAAGAATTAATGTTTGGTAAAGAAGCAAAATAGTTGTGTTATGGCTTTTCTCCACTTTATTATATATGGAAGTGACTTTCAGGGTACATAATCAAAAGCAACTTGAATGTAATGGGAATGGAGTACTTAAGAAATGAAACAAGAAGTAACAGGGTTAAGAATAAATAAGTACTGAAATAATGTGGCTGATGTACAGAAGTGAACAACCAAATTCCAAACAAGCATGTTGAAATAAAAAAAACCTTACAGAATAAAAGGTTGTGAATGAAGCAATGTACAGATGTGGTAGAAACTATGAATGATTTGCTAGGATAGAAAGCTGAGGAAATGCTTAATGAATGGAATTCATTCATTCTAATTAAACTGGTTTTAGCTATATTTGTTTTTTGTTTTTTTCTAAACTCATATGATTAATTCTTTAAAATTTCTTATTCCTTTTCTACACTGTTTACTCCTTAAGTGTACAACTTCATGATTATGCATCCATGCTCATTTCATAGTAACTTTATGCCCATAGCAGCTGATTTGGCCTATTTTTATTAAAGATAATTTCAATTATTTTTAATAGTAACATTTATAAAATAGTTGACATCTTGGATACTATTCATCCTTCCCCTTTATTGCTATGTGAATAAATCTTACCTTCTTATCGTCCTCAGCAGTGTAGACCGAGCTTCATTATGGAAGGTGATAATGATGCTAGTTGGTGGCAGATCTGTACGATAGTGTAATGTAGTGCACCTGAATGAAAAAATAATTTAAAAAGTATTTTTAATCTATGAAAAATTTAAGAAAGTGTAAGTAAGTAAGTTTCTTTCCTAACAGAAAATGTTAAGCATCGTGAAATAGTGTAGTTGAACACAGAAGTGACAATAATGTTGCTATGTTATATTTTGAAAAAAACATGAGGTGATAATAAATACAATTATTTTGAGACTTCAGACCTGGGTTTTGGGTTATGGTGTTTTGTTTTGTTTTGTTTTGTTTTTGTGAGAAAAGAGTAAAAATAAGACAGACCTCAATCAGATCTAATTTGTTAAAAATGTGAACCTTTGTGTGGCAATGGATCCAAAAACAGATTCAAACTGGCAACCTGAACATTAAACCCTCCTGATCAAATAAAGCAGCATAAAGCCAGACAAATACTTCCATCATGACCAGATTTAGATTCATTTCATTGCCACACAATCTATTATAGTGGCTGAGTATTAGGCAGAATACAGAGTGACTCAGATAGATTAGATAAAAAGCACACAAAGGTCATAGGAACATCATCCACATGTCACTTCCATTTATGTCTGGGAATGATGTCCCAGCAATTCCATAGGGGACAAAGACAGGCAATTTACAATTCCTAAGTCCCCCTTCTTTGTACCTCTTCAAGTACCCTCTGATGCATATTTGCTGAACCTGGAAATAGCTGTATCACAATTTTTTTTTAAAGGAAAAATCCTAACTGTATGAAACAAAGCCCCCAAAATGAACACGCAGCATGTAATTGTATTCATACTGTGGCACTCAGCATCCTCCAAATATTTAAGTGCAGTCTTTGCCTACTCCTGGCATAGAAGTTAAATGGCATGAGGGATAGATTGACTTCTCTTTAGACAGCAATTTCCTATCACCACTTCCTGAAGTTAGCCATTCAAGCTGAAGCACAGTTAACGTAATATAGCAATTCTCTGATTCTAAGTATATAGCCTATTCAGAAGAATGGATAAATGAGTTTTGTAAGAGAAAAGACCACCAAAGTGGTTCAGAGACTAGAACACCTGTTTCACACACAAAATCTACTGCACCTCAACATTTTAGCTTAGAGGACAGCTACAAAAAAAAAAAAAGATACAATAGAATAATGCAAAATCTCACACATGATCAAAATATGGACAGATAAGTTTTTTCCATCTCTCACAGTGTCAGAACCCTGAACCGTTGAAAATTAAGTGTGAGGATATTTAGAAACAAATTTTAAAAATTGTTAAAATGCAAGACATAAGCTATAAATATTTTGTCATTAGATGCAGGATATGCAGGCCATAATGATGGCCACAGATTTGGAGAGACATTAAAGGAAATGAGAAATGTTTCTGGAATATTCAGCTATCAGTGGCTTCCAATGGCTTCTAGCCTTGATGCAGGTATACCAAATTCCATAAACTCATCATACAATTTTGGTATAATTCTTTTGTTCCTCTTTTTAAGCAAGCTAATCAGCTAAACATTATTTTCAAGTTCTTGAAAAATCATGATTTATTTTATAATTGACTATAACAATCTATCTTTTATGATTCCAAAGTTTGCTACATCTGTATTATTAGGGATATCTGAGCTGCTGTAAATTCAGTAGAGAAAATATTCCAGAATAGGTCTTTACCATCTTGTTTTTTTTAAAAAAAAGCACATTCTTAAGTAGCCTTATTTGTACTATTTCACTATTAAACAACATAGCTTTTTATTCAGGGTTCATCCATATATCCTGCACAGCTGAACACACACACACACACACACACACACAAAAACCCGCCCCATTAACTGTTTGTCATGGACATGAATGCTTGATGTTTTTCCTTAAACTACTCCCAACTCACTGGGAAGAAAGTCACTTTCTCTAATTTTTTGCTCCACTGCAAATACAGTGTTTTGTTTTATGTTGTTTTATTTTTCAATTCTGCCAAAACAAGCTATGCTAAGTAGGCATCGGGGGTGAATCAGTCCAAGATAAGTTTAACAAAGCAATCAGATTCCCCTGTCAAGTTGCTGGCATATGGGCAGCACTTCCTCACAGAACTGATAGTTCTGCTGGCATCCTTACACAAAAAGTCATGGACACTATGGCCATGGAGCCATCAGAGACCATTAAGATGAAGTTGCCTTTAGTCTTCTCTACTGTCCCTCATGGACAACTTTCCCAACTGGATGTCCCTTCCATTTGACTCCCTTTCCTAGTGGGAAAGAAGCAAAGTTCACTCTATAAGAAAAAAAAATATGTCTTTTGGTGTTGTGAATACTTGTATTGAAAGACCCAGTTATCCTCTTTCTCTCCCTCTATTTTCAGCCTCTACTTTGCCTCTAGGTTGTTTCTGCAGCAGAAGCATCAGGAGAAGAGAAGCAAGGCAGAATGGCTCCTTTGCTGTTCTTTGGCTCTAGATTGTTATCACAATAAGATCAGACCTGGTGATCCAATGCACCAAATGAGTCATTCCTCACCCTCTCTCTTGTATCTTCAATTTCTGATAGATACGTCTACCTACTATGCTTTGTTGCTGAGGCAGATTAGACTTTGGAAGTCAGCATTTCTTTCAGTTGGCATGTGGGAGACAGCAGAATTATCAGAGTACTTCTGTACAATAAGAAACAATGAGCTTGATTTACAAAGATACAGGTTTTGATTGGACAACTAGATAACTTTTTAATAATCAGATCTGTTTGGATATCTTTGGGGGGCAGTAGACTCTCTCTACTTGAGGTGTTTAAGCAGATGGTCAGGAATGCTGTATAGCAGATTACTACACAGGACAATACTGGTCCCTTCTAAGCTTTATAATTTATGATTATAAGTAAAATAAAGAAAAGTAATTTTTCAAAAGCCAGAATTGCAAACAATTGTGTATTCTGAGGAATAATACAATGAATATGTAAGAAATTAACAGATAGTTGCTACATTTATGGTCTCACACCCTAAATTCATAACTTGTGCCCCTTTCCACGGAACTATCAGGTCACTCTGGACCAAATCAAGCAAGACAATCTTCTGTTATTTCTATTCTGTTCAATAGGCATTGATGTGCTTCTGTTCAATAACCCTCTGACAAGAAAACCTTACTACGAAATTTATTTATTTATTCCCCTCAGTTAGCAGGGTGAAGAATAGGACAGCAAGCTTATCATGATTTTCTAAATGTACAAGATGGATTTTTCTGCCTACTTCTCACAATAATGTGCTTCACTCTGTAATGTCCCCTTCAAAAGATAAAAAGAAATTGATGAGTTTTTAAATTTCAAAATGATTCTACTTTACAGTTTTAAATACTAATTGCTTCCCTTTATAAAAGAGTATTCATCCTTATTTTAACATGCTTTTTCAATACTTTTCTTTTGCACCAGCGTTCCCCAAATCAGATTCCATGAATAGTTAGAACTGACTGTGTCTGCCTTCACTTTCTCCTGTCTGAGAGACAAAGATGTAGGCTTCATGTAACATCACTAGAGAAAGAAAAAAAGGAAAGAAAATGAACCACTGGTAATTTTATCTCCAAGATAGACTAACTAAATGCAGTATAGTCAGAAACAACACTACAGAAAATTGCAGAGAAGCCTAGAAGAAGCACATTGAACCACTGTAGATCACGTGCAGTTTATACACTATTCAACCTGAGGCTAATTTTTAGCAACCAGCTTGAATATTTGAGCAGTCATCCTAGTTAAAGAATAGATCTCTGTGAAATCCTCAGAATTGTTACCCTTGGAATTCATGGAGGTAAGCAGCATTGGATTCAATATCTTTCAACCCTAGAAAGGGAAGATTACAGTTCTGGTCAATACTCAATAGTACATAATCTGTCTGTTTAACAGAGACAGGTTTAATATTTTTCTTCACCTACTTTGAGACAAAACCTAGTGCAACAACTTGAAATCATTTCAAGGTATTTCTGCAGAAGGCAAGGTCAACAGCAAAACTCAAGTACTTATATACTGAATATATATATGCATTCTATTTTGTGACTACTTTTATATCTCAAAATAATCAAAGACTGAAGTGCTGCTAAAGAAAAACCATGTACTTTGAAATCCCTCTCTTCTTCTTAAATGATAGATTTTAAAAGAACGCTAACTACCTAGGCAGAGACACCTGAGATAAGAGTTACCAAAGCAATGGGGGGAAAAGTCATTTTTGAGTGTGGATCTGGGGGATCAGCTTTACCACAGGACAGGAAACACAGTCAGACAAACTAATTCTATTTTATTGTAAAGCTATATTAACAAAATCTTGCAAGCCTGAAAGGGCAAATTTCCTGCCATCTCCCTCAAGTTACGACTATGTAACTATGTATGGAAGTTATGACTGTAATTGAGCCCAGAATTATGGTTATACCTTGTGGCTTCTAAGTCGCTAGTTACATGACCAACCCAATATTATAACACTAATTTAGGGTGGTCCTTAAATGAATCACCATGTTCATTAAACAAATCTGTAGTCATTAAGCAAACCCATTGTCTGCAATGAGCATTGTTGACTGAAATTGGAAGTAAATGCCCGTTTCCAGCAAAAGAGATTAGAAATCACCATCATGTGACCACAGGATCCTGCAAATTGCTGTAAATGCAGGCTGCTTGCTGAGTGCCCAAAATGTGATCATGTGACTATGGGAGAGACTGTTGGAACTCTGATTTTTAGTCCTATGTATCTTTGGGCGGGGGCATCATAGCTTTGAACAGGTCCTTCCCCGATACCATTACAGCCTGAGAGGGAGAGATGTGCTGCAGAGCTTCACAGAGACAACATTTTAGAAAACAAGGAAGAGTTATGGGATAAGTCAACAAAAAGAGATAACAGTGTGGGGGGGAGACCATTATTTGATAAAACAATCCATATTATGCCTGAAGTCATTATATCAAGCTTGAATGAAGATTGACTTTTGAATTTTTCTTTTAAAGAAATACCTCCAGAATTAAAGCTACTCAATTTATTAATTGAAACAGATATCCCTGTCATTATATTAAAACTCATTTTGCTAATTTAT